CAGCATTCCTTCGAATGGCTACTGTGCCATAGGAAGCCCTTTGGACCCTGGGCCTTTAGGCTCCATGAAAACCTGTCCCACTGAAACCAAATGCAAAACATGCATGGATATAAATGGGGCATGTACCCTCCAAGGGTTGCATGGGTACAGCCAGTATTCCTCTGTGGCTGAACGCTGGGTACCAGTTCGCTGGCCCAGTGCCTATAAGCTTTAGCTTTCAGGCATTCTTAAAGAGTTTATTTTAAAGATTTTATTCTAGGTAAAGGATATGACAGTCCTTATAGTATTCTTTATAAATATTCATATTGCTAATTCCCTGACCTAATGTCAAAAGCATAAATCTGGTTGCTTAATACATCCAGTATACATGTTTTTTTGCTTCGCAGTTTGCTAGTATTATTTCCACCCTCTTCTCCTTCATCATTTTGTGTAATAATCAGACAACAAGTTATACAATTCTAGCTTGCTAAACCCCGACTAAATAAAGTCTTAATAGATTCATGCTGCAAGTCTAAATGCAGATCCTGCAATTTTCTTCATACCTGCAATCCTTTAATTTTTTCAGAAGGGAAAGGTACTTTTCTCTTAATAAAAGCCATTATGAATATAGATGAAAAATTTAATTTTTTTTTTTTTTAACTTTTATTAACACAAAGATGCATGTAAAGACATATGCAAAACAAAAACTTGTTAAAAAGCATTTTGTTCTCAGAAATCTTCTCTGGGATTATCTTACCTATTAATAGTGCCTCTTTCTCTGATTTTAGACCTGGGCTTCGTTTCTCTGAATTTTTTTCTCTGTCTTGGTTGACCAATGCTACTGTCAATACATTGATTTCCTATAAAGTTTAAAAAACAAAACAGGTGGTCATGTAGTTTTCATTTGCTTCAATTAAACCTGCCTGCTTCTTTTCAACTCTACAAAAAAAGGTCATTACTTTAATTCACATCTAAAGACAAGACAATTATAAATAATTGATTTGTTTGCAGAATATTAAGACACTTTTGAAGTACCTATACACCAAGAGCTGCCAAGAGAAATTTTGCTTGTGGAATAAGTAATAACTTTGTTGCTAGTGCTTCTTCATTATAACAGCTTGAAAGATGAGCCATAAAGTGTGGGGATGGTCAAAACCCTCACATTTTCCACCTATTAAAGCTGTAAACAAAGACTGCCTCCAGGGAACATGGATAGAAACAATCAGCTACAGCTGTAAGAGTAAATTCCCTAGTCTCTAGCAATGTTTCTAGCTACTAGAGCACAATCACCTACCCTGTTACACCCTGCAACCAGTGTCTGGCATGGTGTTGGCCCCTGTCCCAAACAGTTTCTGGCACATTTTGGGGATCAGCACATTTCAGGGACTATATCTAACAGGCAGTTTACATACAGCTACCTTGTTTTGAGGAGTTAAAGAGAGCCAGCCTTAAGGGTAAATGAGTCAAGGCTCCTCCTTTGAGCTCCTTTCTCTGCAATCAGGTGACCTGAACCATCCAAACCTCAGTCAAGCTACCATGTTAGATGCCCCATCAGAAGTACCCAGGCAGTTGTGTGACACAGATTGCTTTTCTCCTGGGTATAGGTGAAGTAAACAAATTATCTCCATTTCAGAGGCATGTAAGTGGCCTCAAAGTGCATTGCACAACATTCAAGCATATACATGGGCTGTTTCCATGGAGCAACTGATATGCAGGAACGCGTTCCTTGGTGAGTGACTCATGCTGCTGCATCTGCTCTGTGAAATGCTCAGCACTTCCATGCAAAACCTCGGAGGCAGAGAGTATGGAGCTGGAGATACGGCAGTGTGAGGTGGGACCGTGCAGGAACGGTGCTCTTGTTCTGGCTGGGGGAGTCAAGGTAAGCAGCTGGAGATTGCATGGGTCTGGGCAGCCTTAAATGCAAGAAAATTTGCACTATTCAGTGTAATGATGTGGCTCATCTAAAACAGTTACTTGGGGTGATGCCGAATTTTTGGCAAGCATTTTTGGCAATAAAACAGAGACACTGGGCTTCAGTCACTCTAGGGCATTCTGGAGGTGTGAATGATCTATGCTAAAAAAAGGCAAAACCTCCAAAATATGTCAAATGTGCCTCCTTATAGATGAGTCAAGTCTTCACAATCCGTGAGACAGGTAAAAAGAATCAGGCACTTCCTCATTCTCAATTAAAAAAAAAACCAAACCAAAACAACACCACAAAAATAACCTCCCAGTGATGTACTCTCTGCTCTTCACAGGCTGGCTCCAAGGAGCACCTGCCCCACACACAGGGCCTGATGTCTCAGATGCATCATGGGTTCAAAGGTTCCCTCGCGTTGCGAAAAGGGACAAGTTGCCGTGCGTCAGCTAAGAAACTGTACGTGAATTTGAGCGACATACGCACACAGGTGTATCCTTAGCCCCCAACAACAAAGGGCTCTGACAGACCTCAGCCCATAGTGAAGGAGGAGTGAGATGCACTGGGTCACCTCTGGTTTGCTGAAGTTGTAGTGGCCAACCCCGGCCACTCTGTGGGTGTATATCTCCTGGCCAGAGATCTAGGTGAAGTCGTGTACATGTAAGCTAGTCAGCCTACGCTGCCTTTTTAGTCAGTAGAAATGAAATAACTTTTTATTCATGTATTGTTTACGTTAGTTATTTACTTTAGGTTGAAATAAATGGGACCTTAGAAGGGCCTGTTTTATTTTCCTCATTGGCTGAAAAGGGAAACTTACAGCACAGACGTAGACACCTACGGGTAGGAGAGAGTCTTCAAGAGTTGCAGTGACCCCTTCTTAAAATAATGGTGTGGCTGAGCGCTCTGGCAGCTACATCACCGTGACACTAACTCTCCTGTAGTGTTGTAATGCACAGGGCACATTATAGCAGCAGGAGTGTGCTCTAAGCTGTCCAGTACTGCTGATTCCCCTCCTGATACAGCCAAAGGCTAATGCAAATACCCATCTACTGCTGGCCATGACATCTGAGAAAGAAAACTCAGGCAAGAAACAGAAATAAGAGAAGTGTTCGTGTGAAGTTCTCCATCAGGGCAGTAATGGCAAGGGGGTTACAGATCAGAAGAACAGAGCTGGATGACAGATTTCATGATATTGCAGCAGAAGAGCAGAGCAGCATATGCCACCAGAGCTTGTATAGGTTAAGATGTAACTTTTGACTCCATCACTGAGAGAAAAGCAGTCTAAAAATAACAATTCCAGAGAGGGGAAGGAGAGAGCAGAGATGTGTATTTGATATAACAGGCCCCAAACACAGCACACCAGCAGTTTCAGATGGGATTAGAAGTTTTGTCAAGCAGTGATGCAGAGAAAGAAACTATATTCCCATTGGGAGCAACGAACAGATGGATCCTCATTTAATGCCTAGATTTGAGTCTGTGCAGAACATTTTGTATGATTTATAGGACAGTGTAAACGGATGCTTAAGGAAGTCACATCAAGTCTTCCTTAACTGTGTGTTGGTACAGAGGATAAAAGAGTAAAAAATCGGTTATGGGGGAGCCTGAGGAAACTGAGAGTGGCAAATATAGCTACTCAGCAAAGCCCTGGCTTTAGCAGAACGTTGCAGATTCTCGAAGGTTTGAAAAGGAGAGATTTCTGCCCTCCAAAACTGCCTGCCTCACAGAAGATGAAAAATTAGACAACTCTGATGTATTCAGCTGCCAAAATAAGCTCGCACAAGCCATGAGAAAATCTAGGGGGAGCATGGTCACATAAAGGACTCAAGGTTGCTAGAAATTAATAGTGATCTAATAGAAAAGGGCATAATTGAGTCTAAAAAATGGAACCCAGAAACCAGGCTAATTATAGTGTAAGAGAAAACCTTAAGTATCTGACTACACACTGCAGATACAAATCTGGTACCTGTGAAGCCTCTACAACAAATCCTCACGCAGTTAATTTGCATATTTTTAGAAGCAGTACTTATGCCAACCCACAGAAACAAGACTTTTAAGAGTACAAAGGTGAATGAGGCAATAAGTAATTGGAAACAAACAGTTAGGTCACCTCTGTGACATGAGGAAAAGCTACTGATCACCAGATGCCTGAGGAAAATTGTTTAATATATATTACATTACAGTATTTCCTTTCTTTCCTGGAGACCATCCTTTATTTGGCAAATTATATTTTCTAAGGCCCTAAGCAGTCTCCTTCAGCAGGTTTCATTATAAAAGGAATATTTTGCTACCATCTGTCAGTTACTGCATTAAAGGACAAGAACACAGCTGAGCATGTGCAAAACCAGTACTTATTAGAAGCAAACTGACCTTGCAAAAACTAAATAAAGTATGTGCAAGGCTTAATCCAGGTTAAATCACACCTGGACATCATTAAGGACTTGACCTTATTCATTACTCACAAATAACATCAGGTGTTGGAGAACATGGAGCCTCAATTCGATGATGGCAGCTCCAGAGCTGCTCAGCATGAATGCAACCGTTCTGTGTGATGCTCTCACCATTGCCAGCTTGGAGCTTTTCCCTGCAAATGACTCTGCCACCCTTCATCAGATGATGAAAAGACATGGATTTCCCTCATGTACTTGACAAAACCTGTGAGCTTGCAGACAACCTTTGGGACCAGCATTTTGATTTGGGGCTTCTGGGAAAGAGAGACTCTTCCTGGAAAACTTTCAGAAAGACTTGCCGGATGAAACAGAGGATGGCATAGTAACAATTTTATCATGCAGACTATTCAGTTCCACAGACAGACCTCTGACACCACCACTGCCACAGTGCTGATGGCTGTGGAGAATTGTACATGGCTGTTCTCGCACATGGATGTAGCCATATCCTGGCCATAAGGTGGGAAAGAGGCTGGGTTTGTGTCATTCTCTCATGTACCCTGGCTTCTTTTGGAAGCAAATGCAAAAGGCATGGGCAAGTGGAATGTTCCAAAAGGTGCCTGGTCTCACTGTACACCATGGTGCTCTACAGAGTGGCTAGGCTCCACGCTGTAGACACAGCAAAGAGGAGTGTGACTCCTGAGAGAGCTGCATATGCCAGGGAGAGACACCGGAGCCCTGAAGAGTGGAAGAGATGTGGTGACTTTCTGCAGGTGATAGTTGCAGGTACTGCAAGAGCAAAGGCTAGCTCTGTACTCCAGGGGGACTAGTAGATCAGAAAGACACAGATATTTAGGCTGGATGACTTGGGTCTTTCAGTCCTCCATTGTCTTCTTTTTTCCCCCTGTAGGACAGTATGATAATAAATAAAAATTTCTCAATCCAGACATTACGCATCATCTACAAGCCAGACTTGCATCAGTGCAAAAAAGGCAAACAGAATATAAAATGTCTGCTCTTGCCTGGGGCTTCTCTCTTTAGTGAAAAGGGTTCTCTTTAGCCTAAAAAGTACTGTGATTCTGAAAATATATGCTTTCCAGCATCCCTAAAAATGGGAGGAATGAGGACTTGCTATTCCCCATAAATACTGGCCAAGAGCTGAGCAGGGCTTGAACAGTAGCTGCCCTACCTGGAGACTACTCCTTCCACAGTTCCTTATCACCCGTTGTTCAGGACTGTGTTTGAAAGGTAGAACGTGGGATTTAATGAATGTGACATTAAAGACACCTGGCATGTGATCAGGATGCAAAGGACAAATATCCAAAGAGCTGAAATACTCCCTCTGCTATCTGGGTAATCCAAATATTTGATGATTACCTTTCAATCTAGGGGGAATGGTGACCGCTTGCATATTATATTCAAAGACCTCACTTCCTTTTTTTTTAATATACGGTATTCTGCAGAATTTTGTGGTGAGGGGGTAAAAATAATATTATACTTTCTAAAAGACACAGTAAAAAAAAAAAAATCCTACCAGACTCTGGAGTAGTTTGCAGGA